TGTATGCATGTATGTAGGTATGTAGGCACTGTTTTCATGTAGGTGTACATGTATGATATGTATGTGTATGTGTCTATACATATATAAGTACATATTGAAACAGGTATATGTATACGATCACGCAGACCCAGTTCCCAAAAACGTTATATTATAGTGCCATATAGTAGGCTATGTAAGACACTGTGCATGTTGGATTTACAGATTGAACAAGACATGAGTCGTGTGACGATAGACTCGATCGAAACCACGCAGCCGACAGGGTGGCCGAGTGACGCACCTCCAATTCGCACCATTTGCGTCCGACTCCTCGCCATTTAGCAGCTGGCGCACCAAAGAGCTGATCCGATCGGGGTTTACCTGCAAAGGCTGAGTGCCGGCTCAGACAAGCTCCAAGCTTCACGGAGCTCTCGTAAATCTGCAAGTAGCAGTACAGTCCAGATTTACCATGTCGGACCGATGAATCGTTTGACAGGCACGTGGAAGAAGGCGGCATTGCCTTCTGGGAACTTGATGTAGCGAGGCGGGACGAGGCCTGGCAGAGTTGCCAAGATCTGCCAGCCTGCAAATGTAAAAGTCTGCTTCTGGGCCGTGGGCGGTTGGCTTGCGCGAAGCAGACGAAGGAGATGCCCTGGCCACGCAGGCCACGGTCTCCATGTAAGATACCCAAATCTGTCCGTGTCCAACATGCTGGAGCCGCAGCTGCAGGCTGCGCACAGCGTCGGTTCCAGCGCCTCCCCGCGCTCGGAAGGAAAACTACGTAGAGACTCGAGCCGTGCTCGGACCAGACTTGGATGGAGTCAACGGCAGGAACCGCTTGCGACAAAGGCCGCGGCTGCAAAGTCTCGCGTCTTCAAGAAGCTTCCTGGCCAAGCTCTCCCGACGCACAGCAACAATACATCTGCCAGGAATGTAAGTTACTGCAAACCCCCGAGCCCCAAGCTTGTTGCTGCACCGTGATTCCGTGGTGGGTATTCGAACCTGGACTGAAGACACGAGCGGCGCACAATAATCATGTCAAGACTTTCTTCTTAAAGCTAGTGTGGCAAAGCATAAATTTTCAGAAGCGTCGAGGATTTGGAAGAACCAACTGGCGAAAGGCTGGTGAGCATCATCGGGTGATTTGCATGGGGGGGGTTCTGAAAGAGTTTACAACAGGTATAAAGAGTGGGATGTTATGTGATTCTAGCTTGCAGCATAAGCTTGGCCAGTCGGCCCCGTGCTTGCACAGCAAGCCAGCTTTCCAGTGGCAAGGCTCTACTTGGAGGTTCATGGGTAGTTGTAAGTGGGGTCAAAAGGAGGGTAACTGTACTTATAACCCATATTAGGGGACTTGTAACCCCACTTATAACTACCCTTGAACCCCCAAGCAGTGGATTTGAGGCAGATTCAGGTTGTCAATGCTTGCCATGGCCGGGTCATTGCTCACGAACCTCATTTCGTGGGCTGCCATCTGCATCTGCAGACGGACATCTTTGGGGGCTGTGCAGTCCATTCTAAGACTCCCCAAAGCTGTGAGAGCAAGTCTTCTACAAGCACTTTGGGCACATGTGCCTGTGGGTATGCTACGGTATGTTGTTAGTCGATGTTTGGCATGCAGGTGACTGAAAAATGCTTGCTGCTTCTTACAGCCTCATGCTGTTTGCAAAGTGCAAATTTGGTACCCGTTGTCGAGGGAGATGAGCTAAGCCGGGAACGGGTGGAGCGCCATGATAAGGGGCGCCTCCAGGCGGAGCACGGCGCGACGACCTGATAAAAGCGAACAGCCATTCACATAAGTCGCTGTGAGTGGCGTTGCTCTCCAAGGCCTGCTGGCTTCGGAGAAAGCCGGAGTGCTTGCAACCCGGGAGGGTCCAGGCGTAGCCTTTCGTGGCAGTGTCTGCCCATGCTGCCGAAGTGTGCACCCGGCCTTGGTCAGCAGCTTCTCCAGACGCTTCCTCCGGAGGTCCGGAGCACTGGTGCTTGGGATGATGGCCGACACCTCGGACAGGCGAACACACAGCAAAAAACCAGTTTCCTGCAGATGGGGTCCGCATCGACATGCAGAAAATCAGTAGGCCTTAGTCTATCGGGCAATGTTCAGAAGTCGCGGAAAATGGGCGTCTACTGTGAAGTCATGTTCCCAGGTGGCTCTAACCCAGGCCTTCGGGGCCATGGCTCCATGGACGCGGACGTCGGCAACACACTGATCACTGTCGTGGCTTTGCGGTAAAGGCAGGAGTTTTGCACCGAGACTACCTTCGATTCTGACAGCGTCTGCTCATGAAACGTGGGGCTTCAGTGGTTTGATGTGGTTTGCCTGCATAAGCTGCGTTGTACGCAAGTTTACGCAAGTCACGCTGGACAGCATCCCAACCGCACACACATGCATCTCATGATCATCAGAATGTGACATGAAGGCCCCAGGGGCACTGATTCAATTCGGCATCTGATGGAAGCCAGCGTTGGGCCGCATCTGTTGCCAATTCCACGTATGCCTTGAACCTAAGTGTGGGCCGGTGCCAAGACACGTATCACTTGGAGGTTCCTGGGTAGCTATAAGTGGGGTTAAAAGGAGGGTAACTGTACTTATAACCCATATTAGGGGACTTATAACCCCACTTATAAACTACCCCTAAACCCTAAACCCTATAGAACCCTTAAAGGAACCCTTATTAGGGGACTTATAACCCGACTTATAAACTACCCCTAAACCCTAAACCCTATAGAACCCTTAAAGGAACCCTTATTAGGGGACTTATAACCCCACTTATAACTACCCATGAACCCCCAAGTACGGCTTTCGCAAGACTCCGAGGCTTCCACTTTTGCATGGCTCTCTTGGAACCATCCAAGGTAGGATGATCCTCGCAGGGTTTAGGGTTTTGGGTTTAGGGTTTAGGGTATACACCGCGGGAGAGTTCTACAGCAGCAAATCACAGATGTGATCTGAGTGGGCGACACTCTTCTGAAGGACTATCTGCATGGGCTTGCCAGAAGCCTCTGCCTTCCCCAACAAAAGGCCCAAGAAGAATAGAAAACTTACTCCGCTGTGAGACTTGGCCAGTTGCCTCGACCACCCCGCTTTCCCGGGCGGCTTCCTTTAATTCCGGGGAGAGGTCCTGAGCTCGCAAAGGCCAAAGAGAGAACGCGGAAAGTGTCCCACGTCCCTGTTGAGGATCTTGAATCGCAGCGCTGTTTGCCTACATCAAACCCGGAGTGTTGCTGAAACCTGTTTTTTCTGTGCTTGCGGATGCGTTAGCTACGGCTTGAACAGTTGAGTTGCATGGCACCAGACCACCATTCAAAACATGGAACAGGCCTTCCCAAAGCCGGCATACAATGTCTACAGCAATCCGAGATCTTCCCGTCTCCTCTGCTGACAATTAGAAGGAATTTCTAGAGTTCTGTTGACATTAGATTTGGGAGCGTAGAACGACGTCCAGCTGCCGGCAGGAGTACAAGACAGGTCAAACGACTAGCGCACGAGCTCAAAGCATGACACGGTGGGAGAACATCGAAAATCTCTGTCTTCCCGCGATCCAATACCGAACCGCCCAGACTGAACCGGGACTGCTTCCGATTGCCCAGGCCTTGAAGCTTCGCCTGCTGTAGGAATTTTCTTCCGCTCCGTCCGCTGCTTCCTTGGCCTGGGGTCAGCTTCGGGAAGGCCAAATAGTCAATTCTGGTCGCGAGCAGCCAACATTCGGTTTTGAGTTTCTCAACCACCACCTCCCTTTTGGGCTTTTGCTCGACCAACATCTGCTTTTAGGGTTTGGGGTTTGCCAGCTTGCATCCCCAGTTAGGGCACTAGTTTCGCAACGAATATCTCCTTTTCAGATTTCGAGTTTCTCAACCAGTATCTCGCTCTAGGATACTGGGTTTCAAAACCAAATCTCTTTTGAGGGTGTTGGATTTCGAAACCAATATCTGCTTTTTGGGAGTTGAAACCGCTCTGCCGCGCATTTGGAGAAATTTGGAACCTAAGAATCGCTGCAACACAGGTGGCGCGGGCAAACGACGCGGTCGTAGTAGTAGCAGTAGCGGTAGCAGTAGCAGTAGTAGCCCAGGTCAAGCACATGAATCCATGTAACATTGCTAGTTGAAGTCATCGTGGCCTGCTGCTCAACAACCGAGCCAAGCCGCACCGAGGAAAAAAACAACCAGGGGACCAGGGACCAAAGGACCAGGGGACCAGACGACCAGAGGACCAAGGGACCAGGGACCATGCACCGGGGGACCGGAGGGCCGGAAGACCAGGGGCCTAGGCCCACCCTACCAAGAGCCCCCAGACAAGAGCCAACGTTGCAAAGCTGCGAGAATCCTGGAAAAAGGTCCGATCTAGAATACAAGACCCTAATCGCGCTATGTGCGAAGTACAAACTGTGAACGTCGGAGTGCAGTCGCCCATCCCGAGCGCAATGTTATCTGTTCCCTGTGGGTGGCCGCGGATGCCGCTGTGGTCGTTGTCTGGGTCTCACGCTCGAGCTGCGAGGCCATAGGATGTCAACTCCTTGACATAGTCCTGCAACATACTGAACAGAGAATGCTTCTATCCATCCTGATCCAAAGCTCTCCCAATGCCCGAACCGCCACGCCTGCCGTGCTGGGAAGCGATGCAAGGAACCGACAACACGACAGTCCGTACAACCTGAAGTCGTTTATCCAATGCCCGCCCCCTTACGTGCAGCGACGGCGTTGCCGTACTCACACTGCCGGAGTAGAGGCAGGTCAATGCAGAAACCGGCGAATCCGCCTCAAGAATTGTAAGGCTGCGTTCTATTCATCTCCAAGTCCCAAATTGGTGCGACAGAAGAAGACCTACAGGTCTGATGGCCCCCAAACTCGTCTTGCAGCACGTCCCCAGCGCCTTGACGACATTGAGTGGGGCCGAGAAGAGCTCGGCAGTCCCAGCCTCGCAAGCCTCGTAAAGACGGGAGATGCCTCTGTCTGTGATGAGACACAGAGCAGCTTGAACTATCCACACAACAGCCCAATGCCTCGTCGAAGCCAGCTCGGACGGCATCTGAAAACAGGCAGCTGGAGTTGACTAGCTCCGTGAGCTTATTCGAGGCAGAAAAGCTGTGGGACAGTGTTGCGCGATGTGTTGCCTATGTCGATAGTCCACTCGCCGGCATCCGCCACGATGCCAACAAAGACATCCTCGCTGACAAGCATATTGCTGCGACATGTTTGGAAAGGAAGGCACGAAGGCGAAAAGAGGGATCCCCTGCGCTGACTTTTGACACGTGACCTAAGTGGGCTTGGGCTAGAAGTCGATGGGCTCTCAACTCCTGCAACCTACAGAGACAGAGAATCCTCGAACAAAGCAGTCCTTATCCTTCCAGACGTAGTGATCCTGAGCTGGACGTGGCTCGTTGAGAAAATTTGAGAAAAGACCGTATGCCTGCGCAGACGATGAACCTCGCAACCTCATGGCCTGGCATCCAGAAGCCTTGGCGGCTTGTTACTGCCTGCTCCGACAATGCTAAAGCACACAGATACAAAGAAACGCAACCAAACAGACATGAGTGAAACCGCCCTCGCACGTCGCATTCTTGCGTTTCAGCGGCTGTGCGGCCCACTTCCAGCGTGTAGAGCTTCACCGTCGCGGCGTCCTGCCAGCATCCGAGGACACATGTCACATGCCGGCGTGCCGTCTTTCGTCTCGAAATCGCCTCACCGTGAAGATTGTCGGCGGAGCTTAAGAGGACGTATTAGGAGCCATCACCAAATACTTTGACAGGATCTTGCGAGACTCCCTCAATTTCGCCCCGGCCGAAGGGGTCAGGGTTTCTCACAGAGATCCTCACAACACAAACCCTTCAACGCAACTCCCCGAAGCCCGCACGAATTCGCGCTTGATTCCCAGACTCTGACAGCAAAATTTTCACAAACCCCAAAACCCTCAACTCATAAATGCTAGATCCTAACAGCACCACTCTCCTCCAAACACTGAACACTCTGAACCCTCCAAAACGTCAAACCCAAGGCTTGTGTGGTAAGGAGACGAAGGAGACCCGTAAATCTTAAAGTTGGCCCCTAAACGCCAAGACCCTCAACCCTAGACCCTATAAGCCCGAAGCCCCAAACCTCACACCGTGCAGGAGCTGCACCTCAAAAGCAGGAAACCCAAGGCTTGTTCCCCAAACCCGAAAATTCGGAATCCTAATGGCCCTAAACTCCCTCAATGCGCAAACCCAGAAACCTGTCAGAACCGAAACCTGCAAACTCTCGCACCTACAAACCGGCTGACCCTGCCGTAGCATTCTATATCGCGCTCACCTAAATATTCTGAAACTGAACGCCAATGCCAGAAACAACTACACCTTAAATACATGTAAATGCCATAAACCCCAACAAAACAACGCAGCGACGTAACCCCCTTAATTGAGACCCCAAACCCGGGTTAGATCACAGCTCATGTGCAGATCCCAAGGGCCTCAGCATGTCTTGCAACGAGACTTCGTCTCTGAGACACCTGCGCGCCTTGCAAGGGACACTGCGCACTGCAAGCGAAAACACGCTGAACACCATGGCCTGCAAAGGCCCAACGCAGTGCAGGCAACGTCGACAAAGCGACGACCTCCAGAGACTTTGCACAGGGCGTCGAAGAACGCTGCACACAAGCCACATTTGGCATACAGTCGAGGGCGCCGCGACGAGGACGGCCGAAAACAGCCGCCGCGGAAACTGCTGAGACCGCCGACAGCCGTGTCTAAGCTCCTGGCAAGCCGGAGATTTGCTGAAATGTGGGTGGATGGCGTGACGGTGGACGTCAACCGCAAGGACCGCTATGGGCCCCGGCCGTCTCAGGCGATCCGGGGCACCGCATGGCTTTGCCAGGCATGATTATTTGGTTGTGTGCTTTTGCAGCCATCACTTCAGACGCTTGGGGGATCGTGAATTGCCACTACAAGTGAGAAGTGTAAAAGGAGGCTCCAGGATGCCACAGTAAACCCTTGGAAGTACTCATCTTGCAGAAGCGCGGTCAAGACAGCTTGCGCGGCAATGACTACATTGACATGGCACCCAGCGACCAGTGTTGCAGACACTCCAAGCAACTTTGCGGTGGGTGACGTCGAGTCTGCTCACTTGATCATGGACGGAACATCCCATGCCTGGCAGCACCGGACTCTGCAGGGATCCTGGCTCCTATCCTAAAATTCCTCGAGCCCGAGAGCCTGCAGGCTGCCGGTCTCCAGCAGCTGGACTGCCTTTTGCCGGCGCTTGGCTGCCGTCGTCAAGGCGGTGACAATCTGAGGAATGCAGATCGCATCTATGGGCGCAGATGCGCAAGCACTCTGGGAGCAGGTTGTAGTTGAGCACACGTCTGTCATATTTCAAGCCAAAAGCTGGGATTCATTGAGGATGGTTTGGGCAACGGGTCCTTCTTAAGCACAACTTGGTTGATGGATGTCTGTGCATGCACACTTTGGAAGATTTGGAAGGGTCCAAAACGGCAGCCTCGCCACGGAACTGCTGCCCTGTGTTTTCTACGCGGCTTGGGGGCCCCGGCTGCTTGTGTTGCATTGTTGTGTTGCCGTGTGGCCGGTGATGCCCGGCTGGCAACGGTAACCCCTGCCTCCGAACTGTTGAGACATTGAGCCCTGGGCCCTGGGAACTGTTCGGTAGTTTTGGTTGCAACTTCATGAGCTGCGCAGTGGACATAAGCTGTAGCCCGACGAGACGATGCAAGACCGACATGTGGCTCATCGAGCTTGTGCATCGTATTGGCATTGGCCTTCTCTTCTGCAGGCTTTCCTTCCGCGACCTGCAGATGAGCCATGCTTGATCGACTGTTCAGGCATTTTGGGGCCCGAAACTTGCAAAGGCCCACCCCGACCTCAAACGACATCTTTGGTCCAGCTCCAGCCGCAAAGGCATGGGCCTGCCCCGTACTAGGAACTGGCTAAGAGGGGTGCTCGGGCGCCGTTCGTAACACAAGAACTCATAGAGTCCCAAGGCAATGGCCGCAGCAATGCAGCAGGGATAGTTTCAGCATGAGGGGCCTAGTGAAAAGCAGTACGAGCATTGGTCTACCAGACAGCCTCCAGCCGCTGCTGCAAACTGCTCCCGTGGAACGCCGCCGCTGGGGTGAGCACTCCGCGGGCGTCAGGCGACAGGGACTGCACGTTCACAGGGCTCACGCTTGACAGCAGTGCAGAATACTGGGAAAACATATCCGCTCAGGCTAGGAGCAGGTTCTGCTAACGTTCCCGTGACTCAGGCCGCGCCGGAAACCTTTATTTCAAGCGAGAACGATTACGGGGTCAATATACCGGATCTAGCCTGAATGCACCAGGTTGAAGTTTGATTGCACATTGCTTTGCATGATACACTGGCTGCTGGTATAAATTCTGCATACCCAACTGTTCATGCAATGAAACTCATCAGCTCAGAAAGGTAACAACATGCCAACGTGTCCGTCCGCATTGAACCAAACGCAACCAAACACTTATGAGGAAGTATGTGTGCGTGTGCGTGTATAGTATGTAGCTACAGCATGTATGTATGTATGTATGTACGTATGTATGTATGTATGTATGCATGTATGTATGTATGTATGTATGTATGTATGTATATATGTATGTACGCATGTTTGTATTGACGCATTTGCGTATGTACGTATGTACGTATGTACGTTCTTGTCTTATGTACATGTGTACGAAGGTAACATTGAGAAACCACGAGTATGTACGTTTGTACGTGCGTGCGTATGCGCATATGTATGTACGTATGTATGTGTGTGTGTGTGTGTGTAACTGCGGATGTGAGGATGTGTCTCTGTCTCTCTCTGTCTCTCCATGTCTCTGCGTCTCCATGCTTCTGTGTCTCTGTCTCTGTGTGGTTGCGCGTGGGTGCTGTCAGAATGTTGAAAAGACTGAAGAGGACAATTTGTTTGCATCGACACCCTCGCTTGTCACAGTGAGAATGTTGCTTTGCATGGCAATGTCAAGAAACTCGGGCACCACCCTCGGTGATGTCAGCACTGCCTTCTTGCACACAGCAATGTCCGGTGAAGTGATCGTTTGGCCGCCGAAAGAAGTCTACTCTGACGGCAAATGCCTCTGGAAACTGAAGAAAGCAATGTACGGACTTCGACAGGTGCCCAAACTGTGACAGGAACATTTCGCCGAGGTAATGACCTCGAAGCTGGGATTCCGGAGATGGGCAGTACTTGCATACGTCGATGATTTGTTGCTCGTAGGGACTGACGAAATGAGGAAGTCGTTCATGCCTCGGCTGTCTGAGGAAGTGTTGCTTAAAGAGACTGGCCAATTGGCGCCAGGGACTGAGCACACCTTCATTGGAAGGAAGCTACGACACAATGGCGATTCGATTGACGTGCGCATGTCGCAAACATACACTGGTTCGATTCTGGACCTGTATGGGATTGCCCCGACAACGCACAGTGTCGGTAAGGTAAAGCACCTGTTGCAGTATTTGATTGGTATGAGAATGTGTGTCTTCAGACTGCATCCATCTTATCAGTTGGCTGATGGCAACTGTTCTTTGGATGTGAATGTCTTTGTGGATTCTGACTGGGCTGGATGCTCGAAGACAATAAAAAGCACCAGCGGATCCACTGTGCGTGTTCTTGGGTGCAACATGGTGAGCACTGCAAGGACTCGAGGCACACTGGCCTTTCGTCGGGAGAAGCGGAGTTGTATGCGACTGGCCGAACAGTGTCTGAGGCACTGTTCCTTCGGTCAATGTTGCTTGAGGCGAAGAAAGTCAGCGTGATTGCCCACACGGACTCAACTGCTGGCAAGTCAACGGCGACCCGAAGCATGTGGAACTGAGGTTCCTGTACGTGCGGAACCTTGTGCAAATTGGGTCTGTTAATACTGGCAATGGCCAAGATTGACGGCATACGGAATCCCGCGGGTCTAGTGGCCAAATGTGTGGCCACTGATGCGTTGCAGATTGAAAACCCAGCTGGGAGTGGGGTCGCCGAGAAACCAAAAGATCAAGGCACGGCAGAGGAGTTTGCGGCTGGCTTCAAGAAGACGCCGGCTTTCCAACCGTGCGTCATCGAGCAGAACAGGTGTTCGTCAGGCGAGGGAACGTAGGTCCGACGGCAGCGCCTCGGCAAGTTCACGCACATGACGCAAGCAAAAGTTTGACGTTTGGCTTTGGGTTCAACCAGAGCCTGGAGGCATTCGAGTGTTCAATTGGAGCCTGGAAGGCATCCGACGATCCATCAACTTGCAAAATTGGACGTTCGGCTATGCTTGGAACTGGAGTCTGCAGGGCATCCAGTTACCCAGCAGTCTAGAGAGTTTGATGTTTGGGTTCGCGTTCAAATACAGTGCAACAGGCATCCAACTGCCCAGCAGTCTGCAGAGATTGTCGTTTGGCTATGTGCTCAACTGGAGACTGGAAGGCATTCAAGTATCCAGCAGCTTGCAGAGTTGGAAGTTTGGCTATGTTTTGAAGGTTGTGAAACCCTTCGCCGAACGAAACAACGAGTACCAGTGGGGAATACTGCAACTGATTGCCCCCTGCGTAAACTGTGTTGCTGCGGCACTGCAGTTTGTGATGTTTGAGGCGCTTTGGTACTTAGTTGCTGCGGCGCTCCAGAGCGACACTTTGCTCTGCTGGCATGTCTGTATATTCGTTGTCACTGTACATGGCACGCATGTTGGAGTGGGCATGGTTCGTTTGGAACAACCATGCGGGGTTTTGCCTTGTAGTTTGTCTCGCCCCACCCCTGGAGGAATAGGCTCCAGGTTTTGTGCATCAGGTGGTGCTTGTGCTCTCTGTCCGGGGAGCGGCTGAGAGGTTAAGCGGCCGGCTTTGATTGCAGGCGCATGGCGAAGCTTTTCCTGCATGGCTGGATTTATGTGATCTATGTGATACCCGGAAAACCATTAAGGATTGCCGGCTTTTGTGGCCTTTCAGAAGAGCCCCAAAACCCTAGGCGCCATGAGGGGCCCACCGCCTCTTTCAGGTGGGGCTTTTCTTGGTGCAGGTACAGGCTGCGTCCGACGTGGACTCTGTGCCTTGAAAGTGAAACTGACGTGAATGTGACACATTCATACACACACACATGCCTGCCTGCCGGCCTGCCTGCCTGCCGGTTTGGCTCTGTCTCCACGTGTGTATGCTTGCATGCATGCATGTATGAAGGCATGTACACATAAACAGATGAGCGTAAGCTCGTCATTGCTGTTGCAGCAGTAGTATCGTTTTCACACCTTGAACGCATAACACGCACGGATGAGAAGCCACAGGGCCGGGTTTAGGCAGGATGGGAAGCTAAAAGCAGCTCAAGCAGGTTTAAGAAGGTTTAAGTCTGATGATGCAAAACCAAAGGAAACACACACACACACACGCGCACACACTACCCTCCTTCCTCTTAGGCCTAGCAAGACCCATGCAAGCGTGCAGACTATCGCCGATGTCGAAGGCAATTTCGTCTTGCTGCCTCAAAGTCCTCGAGGATAACAAGTGCTGCACATGTGCAGGTGATTGCAGTCACCTTCCAGACAGCTAGGAGCATTTCGGCCTACCTGGTATGAGGTATGGCGGAGGAAATCTGGAACCAGCTAGAAGGTCGCTTGACACTGCGCCTCAAATCCATCGCCACCCAGAAAGTGTACGTGGGACCAGTCTCCGGACTCGGCTTCTGCGACAACGTAGCTCTCCATGAAGCCCAGAGCACGAGCCTCCAACGCGCAAGCTCCAGCTAGCGGGAGCTTCGAAAGCCGTGTCTCTAAGGACTTTGGGGTATATAGCCAGGTAGTCTCCATATTAACCACAATAACCTACAAGGGTCCCTATTAAGGGTCCCTCCTAAAGCCCTTAGAGTGTCAAGTGAGCAGTATCTGTCAACCCTTCCTTCTGCTACACGAAAGTATTGCGCAGAGTTTCAGAGGATTCATTTCTTCACCGGGACAGGTAGCAGAAATTCGCAGAATGTATAAGCCTTGGTCATCATCCTGGCTAAGGTCATGTTAACTTCCCGCAAGGCTCACGGTGTTCCCTCTGTCATGTCGGAGCAGCGTGCCTCCTGTGGCGGTCCCAGCCCAGGATGTGGTGCCATGGACTTGTTGCGCATTTCCTGTCCACGGTGACGCTTCGTCGCGCAGCTCTCTCACTGAATCCTGCCAATACTGACACATGTCGCCGCTCCAACTTGCAAAGCTGCCTCCATTGTCCGGGACTGCTTCATAGTATCCTTGCAGCTCAATCAGGACGGTCGTAGATCTGAATGTCTACCGGCAAAGATACTCATTCACGTGTCTGGAGGTCCTTGATGTCAGCCGGAACAGGATTCGCCCAAACCTGCGCATGGGTGCCAAGAGCCCTTCGGTCGGTGTCCCCAGCGATGCCGTCCGAGCGGCCGCGTAGTCGGCATCCTGCAGACGGCGGCCAAGATTCGAAGCCGGCACACAAGCAGCAGCTTGTCCGGTCCTTCTTGTCCAAGGCCAAGTCCCTCACCACCACCAACAGGTCGTGGCCGTAACATGGCGCATCCTTGCTCTAGACAGTGGCTGGTGTTCAACACTTCAACACCTATCGCATGGAAAGTCTTGTGTGCACCATTTAGATCGAGACGCAAACTCACACATCTGTCCTGCCACTCATCAAAGAGGCCACAGCTTCTTCGGAGCACCCTTGAAGTCGTGTGAGATCCGTATGCTGGCCTCTGGGATCGGTTGACTCATGCAGCACGGGCAGCTGGCCAACAACACTGGGGCAGAGGATACGTCCAAAAGAACGACGACGAAGACCGATACTTTTCCGGTTCCGACGCGACAGCGACGGTGGACAGTGGCGACGTCGACGACCTACTCCTGCTCCCACTCCTCCCTCCTCCGACTAACCCTCTTGCTGCTGCTATCTGCTGCTCACATCTGCTTACTGCTGCTTGGCTTGTTGCAACCAGCAAAACAGCCTGAGCAAGTCCCACAAGCTCAGTCCAAAGGCATTACCCAGGTCGAAGGGAAGAGTGGATCAGCCTCTGCTGCACGGCAGTCATTGTCCTGGCGACTGTGAGCACCACGTTGCTTCTACCGGCTCAAATGCTCAAGGTCCTCCGATCGTCCCGCTTTTTGCCGCTCACCGCCGAGGCTAAAAGGGTTATGGTAAACCTGGGAGGTAGCAAAGGTTTAGGAAAGGAAGCAATGCTTTTGAAATAAGGGCTTTTCACCTGCCGAGCTGCCCTCACACTAAAGCCAGGCAGAGCTGCATCTTTTGCGTGGAAGCCACGGAGCGTTTACAGGACACACACGACAGGCCATCTTACACCATCCCTATACAAACTCTGCACTGTCAGAAGCAGCTATGGCTCTTAATGCATTTGTCTAGAAGAGGCCCTCGGAGCATCCAGGGATTGAGTCTGCATCCAGACTGGAAAATCGCGAAAGTCATCCAGTATCATGCCATGTGAAGGCCGGCTGGGGTTTGAATGTTGTCTGCGTCTCTCTGTCTCTGGCTCTTGTCTCTGGCTCTGACTCTTTCGCTGTCTCTGTGTCTGCATCTCTGTCTGTGTCTGTGTGTCCACTCGTCCATGTGTCTGTCTGTGTGTCTGTCCGTGTGCCTGTCTGTGTGCCTGTCTTCGTACCTGTTTGTGTTCCTGCCTGTGTGCCTATGCGCCTTTGTGCCTGTGTGCCTTTTTGCCTGCCTGCCCGCCTAGCTGTCTGTTTGTGTCCGTCTGTGTGTTTGTTTTGTGTTTGTGTGTCGGTCTCGGTGTCTTCGTCTTTCTGTGTGGCGCTGGCCTTGGCTGGGCTAACAGCACACCTCGTGCTCAAAGTGCGCTCACTTCGTCTGGATGAAACTGCTGCTACCGCTACTCTCGCTGGGAATTTGGCCCTGCTCAGGCCTGTATGCTGCATGTCTGGTCCCAAACATAAGAATCACACAAAGAAGTCTGGAACCTTCGACTTTCTTGGATCCACTGATTTGTTTAGTTCTTGACGAAAACTGCAGCGCACAGATTTTCATGTCAGACCAGAATGCACGCGCGCGTGCGCGCGTGTGAGCGTGCGTGCGTGCGAGCGTGCGTGCGTGCGTGAGCGCGGGAGTGCGGGAGTGCGGGAGTGCTTGCGTGTGCGCCATTCCTGTCTCTAAGAGCTACGTAAGAAACATCAAGCATGAAAGAAAATGATTGCAGGGGCGTGCAGCACCTATGGCATACTGCACATTGGGGTCAATGAGTCTTGATCCTGTACTTGCAGATCAGTGTGTGACACACTCATACCAGTAGCACAAGCCGATATGGTGCCAATTGCCAATCTTGTGATGTCTTCGCCGCGCAATTCCTTCTTGACTTTCTAAAGGCTACATAAGCCGAAGGTATCAGGTGCCCCTTGGCTAAAAAACTCTGTCCAGTTATGCCGAGCTTGTGTGTGCTTGGCAGTTACATGTCAGTCCAATCAAGAAGCATCGCATCCCTCAGACATTACAGAGAACAAGCAACAGATCAGAAACACGGTCAGAAACACAGAGTGTGTGAAAGAGTTTGTACTTGCTTGCTTGCTGGCTTGCAGGCTTGCTGGCTTGCTGGTCCGCTCTCTCGCCTGCGTACTTTCTGTATCGCCGTCAGTACATATGTCAGCGGGTGCCCACAATGATGCACATGCAAGTTCCTACTACAAGTAAACCAGCTCTGGCAACTTCCGCCAGCGGATGCTGTCTTCGACACGAACCGCTGCTGCACAAACCAGAAGCGAAGAGGCAAGCCACGGCGGGAATGACGATGCACAGTCGATCAAGACGTGGATCCTCTTTCGCATGAGTCTTGGCAAGAGTCTCACAGGTCGAAAGGCATGGAGGAGGAGACCTCAGACTGTCAGAGTCTGAGAACTATCCCAACGCAGGCACCGAGTCGTTGCAGCTCTGCGGCGCCATGGTCGGCCTGCGAGGCCAAGGAAAGGTGCCGTTCAATGGCGCGATCATGGCCGCCAAGCGACATCGGCCTGGTCACGGCAACTCTCTATTCCTTTCCCCAACCCAACCGATGCCCTACCCATAAACTCTGAAAGCAGTCCCAACACCCACCCAGCCTGGCCCTGAAGTAGGGCTGAGTGGGTAAAACTTTTGAGGAGCCCTACTGTAGCATCCCAGGAGTCCCCCTCTCCGCTCTACTCAATTGGGCTGTTGAATGGCGGAACTACGAATTGGGCATTGCAGAGCGAAGCTCCATGTAGCACAGTGCCGTACAGCAGTTATTAGTTATTAGTTTGTCCGAAACTACTCTGCATGGAGTGTGTACATGTTCTTCTTTTAATAAATCTAATACTTGTCAAACTGCAAGCCCGGAAGTGACACGAGACACAATTGTTCTTTATCGGAGCTGAGTCGCGCTTGAAACAGCTCATGATCTCTGACAGGCTGAGGTTGATGGGAAGACGACGAAGATCCAAGAAACCTGAACCCACCCTAAACCCTAAACCCTGAACCCTAAACCCTAAACCCTAAACCCTAACTCTCTTACTAAACCGACCATCAGCTTCCTGTCCACCGCCAAGACACTGGAAAGCTTCAACAAACGGTTCTCGGAGCTCCCTGCCAACAAGCACTTCAAGCGACAGCTCTCGTTCTGCGGTTGTCTTTGGGTTTAGGGTTTAGGGTTTAGGGTTTAGGGTTTAGGGTTTAGGGTTTAGGGTTTAGGGTTTAGGGGGCTGAACCCTTACCAGCAATAAACCAGCAGCAGAACCCTGCGATTGTTGCCGAATGCGGGACAGGAACCTAAGTCAGGTTTCCAACTCGAGAGTTTGATGTTTCAGACCCAAAACACTGAAAGAAACGATGGGTGATGCGATCAACGGCTTCCGAAGTGTAAACAGCCATCGATACCTTCTGAGGGCCGCTTTCAGTGATCCAAGTGCCATTCCCGCAGGCACTTGGGTAGTTCTCTAAATTAGGGTCCCTTTTGGGGTCCTTTTGATAAGGGTGCCGTACTATATTGGAGACCTAAAAAGGGACGCCAATTTAGAGAACTGCCCACTCCCGTTTCGGTTTCCGTTTGTCTGTGGGCCGGCCTGTTCCCTTTCAACCTGGAACCCGAAATGAAATTTCGAAACGGAAAGACCGGCATCCCCAAAATCCGAAACGGAACCAGAAACGAAAAAGAACCGGCATGCCCGGAAACGGGTAAATTGCAAACACAGTGTGGCTTCGATTTCCGTGTCCGATGGGTGCTGGGTGTTCCGGTTGCGTTTGCACTTTGGATGTTTCGGGGGTGCCGGGTTTGGCGTTTTGGATGGGTGCCGGGTTTTCAGTGTCGGTTCCGTTTTGGATTTGGGGGTGCCGGATTATCCATTTTTTGCTCTGTGTGGGATTATCTTCTTGGGAGCTCAGCCCATTCAGCCAGACATGGGGTCAGCCTTTACAAACCTGCACAGAAGTGGAAGACACTATAGTACCAGGCAACACGGAATGCGGGTGGAAAAGAGAAGGTGCTGCCAAGCTGTACAGTCTCACAGGACCCTCGTGCGGCTGTGAAACGGATTCCCGACGTGCGCCGGCACGACTGCCCAGCAGGCACTCTGACAGAACTGCTAGGAGAAAGGAGAGGCAGAGTGAGAGAAAGCCAGAGATAGGGAAAGCTAGAAAGAGACCGAGAGAGAGAGAGAGAGACGGAGACAGAGAGAGGCAGAGAGGAACAGAGAGAGGCAGTATGAGAGACAGTATGAGAGAGACAGAGTGAAACGGAGAGAGGGAGGGAGAGAGCCCGACGGAGACGAAGACAACCAAAAAGCCTAAAATCTCAGAGCAGCAAGCAAGCACTGGGAAGCAATCAAAAAAACACTGTTTGCAGGCGGCCTCGATCCATGGGTCGTGTTGAGATCGGAGGTATCCCTCGTTCGCACGAGCCTTTGCGTTCGTTAAGTCCATGCGAAAAAGCAGAACTCGGTTACATAGGGGTAGTTCTCTAAATTAGGGTCCCTTTTCAGGTCCCCAATAGTAATATAGTACGGCACCCTTATAAACAGGACCCTAAAAGGGACCCTAATTTCGACAACTACCCCATAGGCAGCTTGAGACCATCGGCCGGCCCTCCTGGAGCCGCTCGGCGCTCGGAGCCTGCAAAACCCGCTGCGGCTCACTCAGTGCTGACCTATACGTCCCGACACACCAAAGGTGGTACCTTTTTTGGGGGTCTTTATATTAAGGATCCTATTATTTAGGGTACGAGTACTATATTCAGGTCCCCTTTGTTCAGAAAAGGCCCCTACTATATTTTGGGGGTTCTTTTTTGTAATTATACCATACAGGGCTCCAAAACCCTATTCTAACTATTAAGGCACCTAACTTAAACAGAAATACCCTAAACCCTAAACCCTATACCTTATAACAGGCAATGCGCTGAACCGTGGCTTCGTCTTGACGAGCTATGCAGCCACACCAGGCAACTTGGCTCACCTGTCCCCGAAGAGCGTTTCTTGCTTCTGCGTAGTGCCTCAAAAAATACACACAATCGTCCACGTAGTTTCTTTCCCATGGCAGGAATAATCTCGGTCCGTTTTGACCGTTGTACATGTTTATCTTGCATCAAAACCAGCGCTGGTCCAAAGCCTGAGTTGATTGCGACGGAGAAGTGATTTCTGCAACTCCAACTCCAACCCCTGAAAATCGGCCAGTTCAGTCCTGCACTGCCGCCGAATGCTGTGATGTAGCCGGCCTCGTCCAGAAACGAGCAGCAAGCCTGTTTCCGGAGAAAGCTGCACAACAGCCGAGTCGCGGCGCTCTCGCCGGAGACGCTTGCATGGTTCTCGGATGGCGGAATGCTTCCTGGCAAGCAGAGGGCAGGGTCACCACAATTGACCATCACTATCGAGCTAGATCCACACAGTCTACAACTGTGACTGCTTGGACCAAATCTCGCTATTTCCGTCCGACCAGTTCTCTCCTCTGATGCTGCCCGCCTGGGTTCTACGGGTAGCTTCGTAGGACTGCCGCAGTTCCTGGATGTTGCAGCCCGCGAGCTACGCTCTCTCGGAGAGGCTTCGCTGCGGTTTAGGCAGATGATGCTGCGGGAAAACTGGAAAATCCGATGTGCTGAGCCCACCAGAAAGTCCTTTTGAGGGATATCTTTGTGCAAGCTGTTTGAGGTGGGGGTTTCCGAAACAGGGGACCCTAATGTAGTACCCTACATAGTAGGATCCTTGCTACAAAATAAGGTACCCTTATTTTTGGAAACTCCCAGGTACTTCAAAAGGTCGGCCCCCCACAAGCTTTGCAGTAGCCTTCGGTCTCGACACTGACAGGACGCGGGCTTCGACGTCTTTTTTTGGAATCACCGCTGCGCGTCAAAATCAACGGGAGTTGACTCGGTTTAGGGAGAAGCTCAAACTTCGTGTTGCCCGTGCTTGCTTCTGTGATCTTCCACCTTGTCCTGCAATCTGTGTTTAACTAGCGCGAACTTGTTGGCTAGGTCTCGGCAAGCCAGGGTGACTCGCATCCCCTTAGCAGGGCTGTGCACGTCATCTGCTCTAAGTCTAAGTGGCTGAACACCTGTGACTTACATATACCCGATGGCACGGCTGACCATGGCATCTACTTCGTTGTTCAGGTCTGACTTCAGAAGACTGGTCGATGTTTAAGGTCTGCCACAGACGCAGTAACTGGTAACTTGTGGCACACCCGGAAAAGGGCATGGCCTAGCTACTTTGAAAGTGTCGGAAGTAGGTGCCAATTTGCTTGAGTTTTTGCTTCCAGTGGCGCACTGTGACGGCTGCCGCCAATACAGAATTGGGGCGCTTTTGCAATGAGTGGGCCTTGAGGGCCAATCTAAGTGACCGTCGAGTCGAATGGAATTCCAATCGTCTTTATGCACATCTGCACATCTGACAACGCTATGTAATGTGCGGCCTCGTAGAGCTCTGCAACGCGATCCGACGGAAGCTGAGAAACCTGCAGGGTCTTGGCTTCGAGACTGTAGGAGTGGCCGAAGGTGTGCCTGCCACGCTCCAGAACCCTTCTTCTTGTTTCGGGGCTGCGTGCTACGCCTGGCAAGAAGCACACGGCAACCAGCAGCGGGTGTGCCCGGTGTAAACTGAGTGCCCTGCGCATGACAGAAGTCACAAAGCCACGCTTTCCTGCACGTCCTTACGGTGTCGAGTTTTGGCGCGGTGTATTGCCAGAGTAGTTGAGGCCGCTGCCTATTGCTGCTGTTAAACGAGCAAACCTGAGAGACAAGGATGCCAAATTTCCACAAATCTGAATTCTCCATGCTTCCAGTCGTTTCGGGATCGGCAATCGTTGATTGTGCTACTGTATCACGGGATTTGAGTTGGATAAACTCCCAGTTGTCGCAAAAACTCATCCAAAGGCGCCGTGCTGGAAAAGCAGCTCTGCATGTTCCAAACTGGACTCCGTTGGGCACACATCCACGAGGCGAACTGAGAGCCTGAGGCGCTGACACTGCAAAGGATCGTGCAAGCCCGGCCCAGGTGGAGGGCCGTGCCGAAGGACAGGGTGTTTTGGCCACCCCTGAGTCTGCCGTGCTTGGAGGTTCATGGGTAGCTATAAGTAGGGTTTTAAGTAGGGCAACTATAAGTATAACCCATATTAGGGGACTTATAACCCACATTAGGGGACTTCTAACCCATATTAGGGGACTTATAACCCCACTTATAAACTACCCATGAACCCTAAACCCTATAGAACCCTTAAAGGAACCCACATTAGGGGACTTATAACCCCACTTATGACTACCCTAAACCCTAAACACTATAGAACCCTTAACGGAACCCTAAACCCACTTATAACCCCACTTATAACGAGCCATGAACCTCCAAGAGGAGACGGTCCAAGTTCGGCCCGAGGCTTCTGAGGCACCGGCGAGATCCCTCGCATGATCCTAGGATGCGGAGCCACGGTTTAGAGTTTAGGGTTTTAGGGTTTAGAGTTTAGGGTTTAGGGTTTAGGGTTTAGGGTTTAGGGATTTAGGGGTTTAGGGATTTAGGGATTTAGGGATTTAGGGTTTTAGGGATTTAGGGTTTAGGGTTTAGGGTTTATTTAGGGTCTAGGGTTTAGCGTTTCGGGTTTATGGTTTATTTAAGGTTTAGGGATTTAGGGATTTAGGGATTTAGGGTTTAGGGTTTATTTAAGGTCTAGGGTTTAGGGTTTAGGGTTTAGGGTTTATTTAAGGTTTAGGGTTTAGGGTTTATTTAAGGTTTAGGGTTTAGGGTTTAGGGTTTAGGGAGTCCAAGTTCAAACCGTCAACTCCAAGAAAAGTCGGAATGAGTGGGAGTCGTATGCCTGAAAGGGAGGTTGACCCTGCACTTGACTTAGTTGATACAATAGTTGTAGGTGCGACCGAGGATCATGCAATCACTGAGGGCAACACATTCTCTCGAACTCATCGGTCCTTCAGCTACACCATAACATGTCCGCATGCCAGCCAACGAAAGGGCTATGCATGTAAACATGGTCACCCCCGTGAACTTTACTGGCGAGGGTTTAGAAGTTTAGATCCGTTGTCATTTCCCTCTTCCAACTTCTCAAGGGAACACGGGCTTGCCAAATTGGAAGAATCCGCAGCGCAAAGAGGTTGGGGTCCTTGCGCACATCGTTCTTGAAATTTGTCCGTGGGGTGGGTACTTTGGCCTGCGCGAGCACCATACAGCGCAATGTAGCACGTTGCATGCACTGGAACACTTCCTCCCCTGACTGTGGATGCACTTAAGCAAACATGCAAATATCCCTATCCGCACGGGCACCTCTTTGGGCGTAGTCACGGAATCGGAACTTCAAGGCGTCTCTCGCGGTCTGAGACAGGAAGCCCGGCAGGGTTTAGGGTTTCGGGCACAAGGCGAGTGGCACTGGACCGGCCTCCGAAGGATTCGGGCCGACAAGGATCTCCACAGCCTGAAGGCTCGTCTCTCCCGTTAGAATAGGGTTTTGGGGGTTCCTGTAAAGGGTTCTATAAGGGCTACTATAAGGGTTTAGGGTTTAGGGGCCTCAAGAAATACCTATACTATCTTGGGGGCTCCTTAGTATTATGCTTATAGCATAATGGGCCCCCAAAACCCTATTCTAATTATCAAGGCCCTATACCCTAAACCCTCATAGTAGCCCTTCTAGAACCCTTTAAAGGAACCCCCAAAACCCTATTCTAAGTATCAAGGCCCCTTTTTTTACTTCGTGGCTTCGTGTCTCCAGCCGGCCTCCAGCTCGGGCTCGCTTCCCTGAAACGGAAAGAACAGGAATGCGGCGGTCGCAATCCTACTTGGAGGATCATGGGACTTAGTAAGTAAGGCTATAAGTCCTCTAACTGGGGTTATAAGTATAGTTACCTTAGTTGTAACCCTACTTACTAAGTCCCATGATCCTTTAAGCAGAAATTTCCCTGAGGAGCAGGCGCTCAAACCATCGCTGTCCTCTTCCCTGAAACGCAAAGACGCATCTGAAATTCGCTTGGGCTTGGGCTTTTTCGCTCGTGCAGCGTCAAAACGACACTAACATGCAGGTTTTGCTGCAAGGCCACCCATCAGCGTTGCTCAATGCATCTACTCCCTGCCTGACACGGCAATGACTGTTTCGCTGACGACGGCGGCGCGGCATGCCTAGCGTTCCAAGGCGCAGGTGGACCATTGCGTCGGCATGAGCCTAGTTGCATCGCTTCTGCATGACGCGATCATGCCTTTTGTCCGAGGAAGCCAGAGTCGTCGGCCAGCGTCATAAACTACACTCCTCTCGGCTCGGCTGAATCAAGGATGTATGACGAACTCTCGCGTCGGTGCCACAACTCTCCACCGCCCTGCGGTCCTGGCCCGTTCCTGGATCTCGCAATGCGCATTGCATGAGACGGGTGGCGTGTTCAACTGCGAATCCGAGTAGCACACTCATGCCAAATGGTAGGCTGCTAGACTGATTCTGTGTTTGCGAACACAGCTGCTGGCCAAATGGGCTGCTCAACTCCTTCGAAAGGTGACAAAACGTGCCGAGCAGAAACACATAGAAACACTGTAACACGGAGAAGAACCCTAAACCCTAAACCCTAAACTGCTTCGTCCTCTTGCATCCAGTGTTCCTGCGTGACACGTGGAGCAGCTACGGAGGGCCCGGACTGCCATCGACTCGGGCAGCATCCTCCTCGGAAAATCGCCAAGTAGAACTCAACAGTGTCTATTTGGGTCTAGGGTTTAGGGTTTAGGGTTTAGGGTTGAGGGTTTGGGGTTTAGGGTTTAGGGTTGAGGGTTTAGGGATCTACATCCAGTGACCATGTGTGGAGGAAAAGACGTGCAACTTCCACTCTTGAGCTTCGCCACTCCACCACCTCCATCCCAGTCTGAAAGGAGCCGCCGCCCCTCAAGCCGAAGCCTTGGAAGAGCTTCAGTTGAACCCTGCAGCCCTGCTGCAAAAGACCCGCGGCCCGCACCCCACGTGTAGACGCGCAGCTGCTTCAGGGGGCCCAGCTTCCCTCCAGCCCCAGCGACCGAAGCGGAAGCGAAGGTCTTTATGACGGCACTTGGGGCCGCCACTGGCGAGGAGGTAGGCCGCGAGGTCATCAGGAACCGACATCGCGCCGGCAAACTGAACGATCATGATGCCTCCCAGGCAGCGGAGACAGCTACCTCGAACCTCGGGTTCTATCCACCCCTGGCAGCCAGCCTTTCTCCTTCGCGGCTTGGTGATACTTCTGGATGACGAAATGGGAGAAATTGACCTTTCTGGAACTGGTCCGGTGACTATCGAAGGCACGACAGGCAGGTCCCAACAAAACGCCTCTCCGGTGATGTCGATATAGTGTGTGCCTTTTTCCACCTGTCGGCAGGGCATCCCACAAAGTCGAAACTCGGATGGGATCTGCAAGCTTTGCAGCTTAAAGCAAGGGCAGGCGTGGAATGAAGGAGGCTTTCAGCTGGAATCGGATGATCTGACGGTATCCCAATCTGGAACGCATGCCCGTGCCCTTGGCATGGGAAGCCCTGAAAAACGAAAGCTCCGGTGGTTTCCTTGCAACTCTAAGGTAGGGGCATGGTCCAGCTCACGATGCGGTAAATGAGAACGCTTCGAACACCCTGTCGGAATTTTGTGTCGAAGAACACAAGAAAAGTGATGAACATCCTCTGCATAGAGGTTATGGCAGCAGAAGTACTCGGGAGAAACTAGAGTCGTCTAATACAATGTTGCAAAGAGCCGTAGTTTGATGTGGTTGAGTGAACTGAGGCAGCCACACAAGCCCGAAGCACTTGCTCTCCACACGCCAAGTAGGGGCCTGGAAGTATAAGACGAGTGCGGCGAGATGTCGCGTCCCTTCGTGGGGAAAGCTGTGCCTGCCAATGCCAAGACGACCACGGCTTCCTGCAGCTTTGAGATCGTAGGACATCAGAGTGCGTCAGAGACAGGACATGCCAGGGCGTGCTCGTGCTGCAAGTATGCCCTTTCGTCCCTAGGCTCCTCGACCATCTCCTCAATCTCAGCTCTGGTGTTTGCAACAATGACCTGCAAGGGCAGAGTCTCCGAATACTGGTCGGCTTGTGCTGCTCATTCGCCTTGGGACGGGTTTGACATCGCGCGGCCATCTTCTGCAGCTTCTCCTCGCTCCTCACATGACCGATCTTCCCGAGACCATCAGATATCAGAACTGCAGAGGTGCCTGCCAGCAATGGCCCATCGGTGCGACGCTGCGCTTGGCAATGAGAGCAGAGCATCCAGGTGCTCCACTGCCAGGCAGCCACTGTAGCCTGCCACATGGAAGACGAGGAGTTCGAAGCTCTGAGCATCCCAGCAAGTTGCAGATCAACGCTGAATCTAGGAAGCCTGTGGCTCCGTAGATGACCAAATCGTACGGTCGCTTCTCAGGTTCAACCTGTCAATGATCACATGCTTTCGGAGTGAATTCGACCGCCTTAGCCGACTTTCCAAAAAACTAGTCATGCACCCGGGTAGGCGCAGTTTCTTCCAGCCGGTTTAGCTTTCCAAGCTTTCAACTGCCGGGTTGTTTGAGGTGCAGGGATGGGAAGAGGGCTGAGACAGGTTGAGAAGTTCACGGCGGTTGTATGTATGCCTTTGGAGGTTCATGGGTAGTTATAAGTGGGGTTATAAGTCCCCTAATATGGGTTATAATTATAGTTACCCTACTTATAACCCTACTTATAACTACCCATGAACCTCCAAGCAGACCCTAAACCCTCAACCCTAAANNCCCTAAACCCTAAACCCTTTCACTCAGACGTCCTCTGCGTTGTGCTATGCCCGCTGGCCGAGACCCATCGAGCCAAGGGCTCGATAGGCCACGGCACCACGAAGCCACGAGGTTTAGGATTTAGGGTTTAGG